TAAGAACTTTTCTCTAGTTCTTCAATGCTTCCACCTCACCCCACTATCATGACCCCATTTCTACCTTACAAATCTGGCTCAACCACAGCATGTACACTGGTATAGATAAGAGCTCTCGACACACGGAATACAGGACAGATAAACCCTCAGGTATAATAATGGAAGTAGCGATACTATGAGGGTAAGGAGAAGGTAGGGGGAGAAGGGGGAGAAAGGGAAAACCGATCGTAATGATGAGCATATAACACCCCCCATTCAGGGGGACGAACAACGGAAACATAGGTGAAGGGAGACAGCAGATGGTGTAAGATATGAAAATAATTTATAATTTATAGTTCACAAGGGTGGGAGGGTGTGGGAGGGAGGGAAAAAAGAGGAGCTGATACCAAGGGCTCAAGTAGCAAAAAAGATGTTTTTAAAATGACGATAGCTACATATGTACAAATATACTTGATACAATTGATGTATGGATTGCTATAAGAGGCCCCAATGAAATGATTTATTATGAAACAAACACAACTTGCCCGTGTACCCAGCTTGATACCTGCCCTCATGAAGAGATCCCCGAAGGTGAGGGTGTTACAGCAGTGTGAGGAAGAAAGCAGAAGGTGTTGGGCTACCAGAAAGAATAGTGTCTGGGGTCTTAAAAGACTTGTCTTAAAATAAGCAGTCATCTAAGTGAGATGACTGCTAAGTCCACATGGAAGAAGCACACCAGAGTACGTAATCCAAGGACTGTAAATAATAAAACCCAAGTCTCGAGAAAGGAACAGTATCGGAATTGAAATTCTGAGCACCCAGTGTTTAAAAGGCTATGGATGATAGTGAAAGCCCCCAATCCATGTGCAGGCTCCTACCTTAAATGAAGCTTCCCATGAATCCCCTCTGACCATCAACCAGGGATGTGAACAGGCTTGCTGTCAGAGAGAGGATGTTGGACAGTGGACAAGTGCCGATGTGGCTTATCATTTGTGTAGCTTATCAAATGATGTACCTACCTTATCATTTGTTCTCCCTTCTGACCCACTTTACATTTGCTCTGGTTTTGATTCTTTTCTGTGATCTTTTCAACTGATACTTTCCTATGGTTTAGTTTGTTATTGTTACTGGTTTTTGGTTAGCTATTTGCTTTTATCTATATGAAACCCAGGATCGGTAAATCTGTGGAGACAGTAAGTGGAGTCAGAGAGTTTTGGGGGTCATGGCAGGGGACGTGGAAGTGGGATAGGAGCTAAGAAAAATGAGAACAACACGAAAATGTTCCCAAAGTGATTGCAGTGGTGGCTACACAGCTCGTTCCAAGATGTTTCAACTACTGAACGGGGCGGTATGTGAATTGTGTTGTTGTTGTCGTCAGGTGCCTGCGAGTCTGCTCCAACCCATCGTGACCTGATGCACAACAGGGTCAAGCACTGCCCAGTCCAGCACTGACCTTACACTTTTACTACGCCCACTGGGGCAGCCACAGCGTCCCCTCATCTCCTCCAGGGTCTTCCTTCTGTGTCGCCGCTCCCCTACTTTACCAAACATGAGCTCCTTCCCCAAGGACTGGTCTCTCCCGACAACATGTGCAATAGAAGCAAGACACAGTCTCACTATCCTTGTCTCTAAGGAGCAGGCCCGCTGCACTTCTTCCAACAGACCGGTGGGTCCTTTCAGCGGTCCAGAGTACTTTCAGTGTTCTTCTCCAGCACCGCAGTGCAGATGCATGAATTCTTCTTTAGTCTTCGTTCAACTTTCCCATGCAGATGAGGCAAGTGAAAATACCATGGCTTGGGTCAGGTGCCTCCCAGCCCTCAAACGAACACCCTTGTTCTTCAATACCCCACAAAGAGCTCCCATGCAGCAGATTTACATAGTGCAACTATCTTTTGCTCTCTTGACTGCGGCTTCCATGAGCATTGATTGTGGATCCAAGCAGCTTCAACCCTTTCTCCATTGATCACAATGTTACCTATCGGTCCAGTTGTGAGGGCTTTGGTCCTTTTTACATCGCGCCGTGATCTACGCGGAAGGCTGCAATCCTTAATCTCCATCCGTCAGCAAGTGCTTGAGGTCTTCCATGCTTTCAGCAAACAAGGTTGTATCATCTGCATATTGCATCTGCATCTCCAATCCCGATACCACATTCTCCTTCATGTAAGCCAGCAAACTGCATGTCAACAAAACTGTTAACAATTCGACAAAAGCAAATCTGCCGATGTAAAGCTATGAACTGCAGGGCTTTAGAGCAGACGTGGGTGTTTGGTCAGGCCTACAGGAGACTGACCCTGGGTTTGAGTTGCACAAACGGGAATCTTTCTATACGTGCTCCAGCACCAATGGCCAGAAGAGGTCACTGGTAACCCAGCACAGAGCTCTGATCCCTGTGGACTGGAAGCCTAACCAACAAGGCTGCCTCTGCGGCGGCACCAAGCCCCAAAGCAAAGAACCCACGGGTCCTTTAGACCGTTAGGGAGCACTGCGGGATTCGAGAAAGGGCTGCTAGTGGCTTTGTCTTTGGCGTTTGACAGATCTCCGGCAGTTCTGCTGCGGCAGCTCATGCTAATCTGTACATGAGACCATGCAAAGGGGATACTTTGGAAGTTCAGAGGACAGTCTCTCAGGCCGATTCAGCGGTAGGATTCTCGCCTTCCACAAGGGAGACCCAGGCACCACCATCCCCTGCCTGTCAGAGGAGGTTTGTGGGCTGCAGGGATGCTGGCTGGAGTTCCGCAGTTTCCAGACTACGGAAGAAAGGCCTGGCAGTCTACTTCTGAAAACTGGCCAATAAACCCCCCGGAGGACGAAGGTCTGGTCCACAACGGAGTGGAAGGGCACAGAACCGAGCGGGGGAGTCTTTCACTGAGAAGAGAGGGCACCAGGAATCGAGGGCTGGCTCGATGGCAGCTCATAAAGACAACGGCGACTCAGGGCAGCCAGAAGCAAAGACGGCAGGCGAGGCTGTTCTGAAGGTCCATAGACACTCTGGGGAAAAGGCTTCCAGGGACCAGCGCTCCCCCCTCACACACACTTCTGCCCAGTCCACCTTTCCCTCCCCCAACACACATGGATTTCAGCAGCGGTCACCTTCCCACGGGAAACAGGGTTCAAATCCCCAGTCTCTAAGAAGGGCCAGGAACACTCTGTATTAAGCCACATAAGACCAGATTGGGAGGGATTATCGACTTGTGGTGAAGCGGGGCGGTTTTCCCTCCTCCCCACCCCACTCCTCACGTAGCCTGTGTGTCCAGGGCCAAGGTCACCGCAGGCAGGACAGCCTGGCACGCCACGGAGACACACTGTGAAGCAGCCCCACATCAGGAACGGTGCCCACTGAAGGCGCATTGCATGGCGGCTAACCACATCACAGGGTGGGGAGCCCGCGAGGAGGCCGGCTGCTGCCCCCCAGGGCATTTTCATGCTCTCGTGACAGAACAGGCCGATGAAAGGAAGTCCGGACAGAAATAGGTGGCACGTCACCCTTCCGAGCTCTGCAGTTGGACACAGATTCCAGTGCGCCTGTCACCAGCCAGGTGTTGACTGAACAGGAAAACAGCCACGGAGGTGCTGCGGTGACACACCGTGCCCTCTGCCATGCCAGCTTTGCTGGAGACCCGGAACTGCCGAGGGAGTTCAACGGGCTTTGCCCCGGCAGGGTCCCCAGCGCTCCGGACCTGGCTTTAAGCTTATTTGGAACCAGTGTTCCAAGTCGTGCAAATGGTGCGTGCGCTCAGCTGCTAACGGGAAGGCTAGAGGGCTGAGTCCACGCAGGGGTGCCTCAGAAGAGAGGCCTGGTCGTCCACCTCTGGAGAAAAATCGCCACTGAACGCCGTAGGGACACAGTTCCACTCTGACACTCTCGGTCGTCAGGAAGCGGCGTCCACTATGAGACAATTGGTTTGGGTTTATTCTTGCGTTCCACTGACTGACCAGTCTTTATCTGAAGCGGGATGTACTTCAGCCTCACCTAAAAGGTTAGCCAAATTAGCTTTCTGTTCTCACACGCTTATGAGCATTTTAAAAGTCTAATGTAGTACTTTAGCAAGCAGACTGAAAACTCCGTGCCGTCAAGTCGATTCTGATTCATTCTGAGGCTGAAACTCTTGACCCGAGTACAAAGCCTCATTTTTCTCCTGTGGAGCGGCTGGTGGTTTCAAACTGCTGACCTTGCGGTGAGCAGTCCTACAGGTAATGCACTCTTGCCTCCAGGGCTCTTGAGGAAAATACCAGAGCTGACAGCCTCCCAAGTCCTTACATGGGCCAGGGAGCTTCCAAAGGTCGTTGGACAACAAGGAACTAGAAGAGAGCTTTATTTTCCCACAAACTTCATGGTCGCTGCCCCCACGCCTTCCCCTCTCCACGGCCTGCTTTAGTACTGTGCTCAGACAAGGACACATCAGGCACGTTTCACATTAGAGGAAACCAAGGCCAGAGAGCCAAAACAGCTTGCCGGAGACGATCTGCAATCCGTGCGGCCGAGCAGGCCCTGGCTCTGATCTTTGAGCCTCTCTGCTAAGTCCCAGTCTGCAGTCTCAGTTGCTTTAGACAGACATGGGGCCGGCTCCCGGCGAGGAGCCCCCCACCCTTTTAAAAGATTAGCGGACAATAGAATAAAGGGTTGGAAGTAAAACACTAATTTCTTGAACTTCCTCTTAAATGGAGAATCAAAAAGGCGAGCAAGCAAAGCCACTGCTGCCACAGATGTTCCAGCCCCTCTCCCTTTGAATTGGCACTTGTCCGACCAGCATGCACCGCTCTGATAGTGCTATTATTCCAAGGAGATAATGTATCCAATCCTGCTGTGAGCAAAATAACACAAGCCGGTTGCCCCCTGTTCAGAACAGCCCCACCTATGGGAGGAGGGGCATAGGGAGGAGTGAGGGATGGGGGTGGGGTGTGGAGTAAGAGGGAACGCATGTGAGAACCAGCAGGGTGAGCCAGCAGGGTGTAGCATCCTCCCGGCTTGGGCTCAGCCCACAGAACCCCAGTGGGGCCGTGGGGCGGGCGGCAGCGCCTACCTCGGCAGGAGTGGTCCATCTTGTTGAACTGGAAGTAGCCCGACTTGCACTGGCACAGGGCGACGCCATCCAAATCCGTGCAGATGGAGGTCTCTCGGTCACATTCGGGGCTTTTCCGCTTGCACAAGCTGCCCGCTGCAACGGAACAACAGGACGGTGAGGCAAAACAAGACGGCTTCCGCTTCGAACCTCGAAGTCCCTCAAAGGGCAGCCTGGCGCAAGGACTCCTGTCCTGGGTCCACGTGGCACGGGCTTCTCACACTCCTTTCCTAGGTCAGCTCCCCGCGGCGATTTCCTACATGGAACACACCCTCATGGCATGCCACAGGCACAGGGTGACACCAGACTGGGCAGGAGCAGGCCTGGTCACCTCCTCCCAGTGTCCACGGCTCATCCCCTGCCCTCGGTGCGTGGTGTCCCCTGTAATGCTGTTAAGTGATTGCAGGTGGAGAATCAGCACAGTTTAAGAAACATGACTGAGCACTTCACAGGAAGCAGAAAGACTCAGACCAGGCACAACGCCAGCAGAGGCCCGGCGTGGCCCGGAAGGCCTGCACTGCCTGCACGGGGCCAGCACCTTTCTTTGGCTGAGGAGCTTGCAGTCCGACAACGTGCTGCCGACCAGGACCTCAGCTGGGAGGGATGCCAGCACACCCGCTTCTCCAAGGCCGAGAGTGAGCATGTTTACCTATCTACCTCAACCCATTCGTCACTGGCTCCCCACCACCTTGCTGAGAGGCCCATCTGCACACAGTCCTCATTGCCATGTGCTGAAGGGGGCTGCCAGACTGACAGGTGCTGGGTCATCAAGCGGGCTGAGGAGGAGCATGTCCTGGGGGCTCCCTGCCTTATTTCTCCCCTGTGTGTCCACTGACTTTGTCCAGCCCTGGGCACGCGGGCTCTACATTCTCAGGAGTGGCCAACACTCATTTCATCCTTATCAAACAGCGTTCCGTGTTGGGCACATGGGGCTGCTCTGGGAGGTGGCACACAGTGGACACAACTCGGATGGACCTTATCATGTCAACTGGGCCTCACGAGAAGCACCTGGGTGTCGGACAAAAACAAGCAGCCCTCTGGGCAGTGCGCATCACAGTACTGTGTTTGCCTCGCGTGGAAAGCAGGACAAGGTGGAGTTTGGCTGGTGTTGAGCTGGTGAGAGCAAGTGAAGCCTGGGACGAGAGCACATAAACACTGTGCAGAGAGGAAGGGCTGCCAATTCCCCAGCCACCGCCTCCCCCTCCCACCAAGCCTCCTGAGAAACCAGGCACCACTTGGTGATGGCTAATTGGATGTGCCAACCTCAAGGGGCTATGGTGCCCAGTTCTTTGGTCAAGCATCGTTCTAGAGGCTGCCAGGAAGGTATTTAGATGTGATTGACATTTACAGTCAGTTGTCTTTTTTTGTTTCTTTTTTTTTTTGTTCTTTATATTCTTTTTTGTTTTGTTTTGTTTTTTTGTTTCTTTTATTTATTTATTTATTTTTTAAAAACATTTTATTAGGGGCTCATACAACTGTTATCCCAATCCATACACACATCAATTGTGTAAAGTGTATTTGTACATCATTTCTCAAAACATTTTCTCTCCATTTAAACCCCCGACATTAGGTCCTCATTTTTCCCCTCCAGTCAGTTGTCTTTAAGCAACTCGGATTACCCGCCACAATGTGGCTGGGCTAATTCAAGCAGCCGAAGGCCTTAAACACAAAAGCTGAAGTTTCCCAAAGAAGGAAGGCCACCTGCCTCTAGACTCCAAGGTAGAAATCCCAGCTAACCGTCCAGCTTGCTGGCCTGGCCTATAGATTTTGACCTTGCTAGCTCCCCACAACTGTGTAAACCAATTCCTTCACACCAGCCAGCCAGCCAGTCAACCAAGCAACCAAACCAACCGGCCAGCCAGGCAGTCTCTCTCTGTACACCCTATGGGCTCTGTCTCTCTAGAGGACTGTGACGACATAGATATTAGCATTCTGGACACACCCCCACACAGTTGGTCAGCAGCGGAAGTGGCACCAGGGCTCCCGGCTGCCCAGAGTTCCCAGCATCCCTTGCCCGCTTTTGGAAGCCCTGAGAGCTCAGGTCAAGCCTGCCGCCTGGTCACGGGAGGTGAGGTCGGATACAATTTTAGCTCTCAATACTGTATTTCCTGTCTTTATCAGTGGAAGTTGGTGTGCTAAACCAGAACCCCATTTTGCGTGTGTCACAGACTTTCCTTTGTTTATTGTGAAAAGTTTGTGTTTCAGGAAGAAAAATTAAAAAACGAAAACCTCACAAGGCCACCCCGGAGAAGCTGGCACCAGAGAGGAATCTGGCCTCCCTAGTGCCCTGTCTGTACCCTCAGAAGTCTTTACCTGTTACCAGGCTGTAAAACACAGGGATAGTCTAGTCACAGCCATGCCTCACGGCCAGCCTAAGCCTATGGCCCCGTGAGCGATCTTCTGGGAATGGACACGCCATTCCCCCTCCACCCTCACGATTAATCCAGCTCCTGGCAGAGAGGTGCCCAGCAGCCTGCCACGGGACTCCCCTCCCACAGAAGCAGATTGACGTGGTAGCAGGGAGAACTGGCCTCGCAGCGATAGAGGAGTTGCTCTCCTCCAAATACTTCCGGGCTATCCATCCTCTCCTAAACGCAGCCAACGGTACCAAACAGAACCCTGTGTTCATCCGGCAGGAGCTTTCTCCATCCATGATGCCCATGCTCTTCCCTGGGCATACCATCTGCCCAGAGGTCAGGCCAGGAGACATTCCACTGGGGAGGTCCAGACTCGGGTCCTCTGGCAACGATCGGAGCCGTGCTCTCTGGAAGGCAAGGAAGTGACTGTTTTGCGACTAGAAGGGGCGGGGGTGAGGTAACCTGCCTTGGCAATGGCAGTTTCCAAAGTGGCCCGTACTGCACAGATGTTAGAAAAATCCAGCTGCGATAGCCTGACAGTTCCCGAGAGTTCGACTCACCTCTCCTCCACTCACAAAGGTCAGCAAGAGAGAAAAGCATGTTTACTAACCAAACCGAGCAAAGGCTTGGGAGCAAACAGGGAAGGCAGCCAATCTGGGGGAAAGAATGGGAACCCCAGATCGGAGCTTTCCCCTAAACCACATCCACGCAGTCAGAAGAATGAGAGGTCAGAGGATGGGCAGAGCTGTTACGAGGAGGCTCTTACGCATCAGAATACCTGGCTACTAGACTTGCACGGCATGACCATGGATTAATGGGAACGGAGGGAGAAAGAGATTTTTTTTAAAAGGGGTGTGTGGGGGGAGCCTGAGTAGTGTGGTTACACACTGGGCTGCTAACACAAGGTCAGCAGTTTGAAATCACCAGCTGCTCAATGGGAGCAAGACGAGGCTTTTGACTCTAGTAAAGAGTTACAGTCTCGGGAACTCCTGGGGACAGTCCTACCCTGGCCTCTACGGTCGCACCGAGTCGGAATCAACTCGATGGCAATGAGTTTTTTTGGAAGGGAAGAAAACAGTAGCTTGTTAGCATGCTGACCACACAGACAGTCCGTCTTCTCGGGAATCCCCGGAGGGTGCTAACAGTTAAGACACTTGATCGCTAACTGGACAATTGGCAGCCGGAGTCCTCCATAAACACCCAATGAAGTGGAAGCAGGCCTGCCTCGGTGGCTGAGGCAGGACCCCAGTGCCCTGGATGGAGTCCTTGGTGAGCACATCGGGGCCTGAGAAGGATGGGCTCTGGGTCAGCGTTCCGAGCAGCCACACGTTTTAGTTAATTCCCTGACTGTGCTGAATCCTATCCATTTTAACCCCACAAAGTTTGACTCTCTCTCTCTTTTCCCCAAAGTACTAAGCCGCAGCCCTTACGTGGGTCACACGCAGCGTGTGCCCCCGGTGAGAAATGCTAGCAATACACAGCTCCCATCCGCTGCGACTCACAGCCCCCTCAGAAGAGCTCTCGGACCAGCAGGTACAAACACCTGGCCCACAGGGGATGTCCCAGGTCATCTAGAGGGATAGTGCACCGGCCTGATACCTACAACTCAGGTCCAGCACCTGAGTACCAGGTGGGGAGGGCTGGCCTGGCTTCTTTCCACCTGCAGCCCTGGTTTTGCAGTAAAATGAGTAGGCAGTGCCGGCTTCAATCACTGCTGATTCCAGTAGCCAGTGTTCTCCAACCGAGACGAAACTCCCCCTCGCAGACTTGAATCTGAAACCTGCTGCCTCCGACCATTTTTTCATTTGCCTCACGCTAGCTTCATGGTGGGAGCATTTGACCAAGCAGATAAAGTGCAGTCTTCAGCCTCGTTTCTGTGTGCTGACAACTGACAAACCAGAAGAGCAATACTGCACGTGCCACCTGGGCGAAGGTGAGGCTTTCTGCATTCAGAGAGTTACCAGTCTCAGGAGCCCAAGAGGGCAGGCCTACCCTGTCTTACAGGGTTGCTAGCCACCAGAATCTACTCGCTGACAGTAAGTAGGAACACATACCAAGGACCAGGTGACTTCAAACCTATGTATACAGGTGTGTGTGTGTCTAAGCACAAAGGTGTATACCTATGCAAGCAAGTATTTTGCTTAACACTCACTTCAGAGATAGATTTTGTGCACTTCAGAGATAGATTTTGTGAGGCGCTTTCTTGGCCCTGAGCCCTGAGCGCCCAGCTACGGTGGGTGGGTTTCTCCCAGAAAGCAACTCTCTTACCTCTAAAGATGCGCCTCTGAGAGCCCAGGAGCTGGCAGACCTCGGCGGAGGACCTGCAGGAGTTGGCGCATCTCTGCATTGTGTCGGCCAGGTCAAACAGGGTCACGTTGGAGGCCAGGGAGAAGGTGGTCTGCAGCGAGATGGCCACCAGGCTGGAGTCCCTGTGGATGACATCTGTAGGTGTTTAGTTGTTCAAAATGCAGGGGCTTCTCGAGAGCCCGGCCAGCTCCCTTCCCCAGCGAAGGAATGGAAGAACTTGAAGGTCGAGTGACCTTGGCAGTGGGTTACTCAAAGGCTTAGTCAAAATAGGGACCGATACACAGTTATCGGCCTGATTAGAACAGCCTCCCTTTTCCATGGGCTGGGTCGGAAGCACATAGAGTTCTGCTCCTTACCTAGATGCATGGACAGTGGATCGGGTGTAACCAGGTAGCGGTGACAAACACACGTTTAGCTGAAAGGAAGAACAGGTCTGTCGTTAGCTGGATTAGACAAAAGCCTGGCACCCAGAACCAATGTCCTATTCTGATGACAAAGGAGGCTTTTCACAGCCATCAAGTGACCAGCAGGCAGCT